CAAGCAAACCAGTTAACGGGCCTAACCCCACATCTAATACCACGGGCAGATGTCCCTTCTTGGATACAGCTGAAACTCTCTAAAATGGCATTATTCCTCTCCCCCGCTCCCTTCTGCCTTGGGCACAAGCAATTAGCAAAAATGATCACTAAACCACTTGGGAAATAGAAGGGGAAGAAGAGGAGGGGAAAAGAGCCAGTTGGGTTGGCTCGAGCCACTAATTTAAAACAATTTAGCCAGCCTAGTTGACAGCCTAGTTGACTTTGCCTCCAGTGCTCACACAACCCACTCTGCTGGAAGAGCAGCAGGAGGTCCCTGCACACAGCAGGGATCTGAAGCCCACATCACTGTTTGCAGGACGGGCATCTGCCCCCCTAAGGCTCCAGGCATGTTTTACAGAGATCGTCCCATGGGAGGCACACAGCCTTCTCTAAGTAGTATTAAACAGAACCAGAGCACGGGGTTACCATCCCAGCACATGGTGGGCCACCCACTTGAGGATGCTGGGAAGTGCCACCAGCAGTTGGTGGACCGTAGAGCACAGATCCCCTTTGCCTCATAAACAGGGGAGATAAAATTTGGTCCTGCATTTTGTACACAGGTTTACAATCACTTTTAAGAATCTCTTTTTCACATCAGAGATGTATACTCCATCCTGGCACAAGAAGCAGACACATAAATCCCACAGCACACAACACATTCACAGTGTTTAAGATCTGCAGATGGAGCATGTGCAGGAGAAGGTTTTATGAACAAGAAGTGCTGGAACAACCAATCGTCATGCAGGGACAACACAGGTCCTGCCAGCAACGGCTTTAAATGCAGGCAAGAAACATTTGCTGTAGCCTGAATACAGAAGTTGTACAGCTGTGCCAGCAAAGTGGTATGTTTATCCTTTAGGGCAGATTTGCTTTCTACAAACAGCCTGCATTAGAATTGTATACATGTGGCAAGAGAGTTGAGCATTTCACTTCTGTGTTGAATAAATCAGGAAAATTGGTCCCAGATAATACATCTTTCCTAAGTTGGGGGGCAGAGGGGACCTGAGAAGAATGGCTACTCAGTCATCAAGCAATAAGAACCAAGCTGCCTCATGTATTCAGCTTTTTTCCTGTTCTAAGCAAAACCAGCTTTTGGCTGATCATAGTATTTAATAGCACACAAATATTTAAGTTTGCTTCCTTTTGCTTAAGCAAGTCTAATACACACACTCATAACATAAGTTTATAGAAATTATAGCAAACTATATGATTCTTCTTGGCCTCACCTCAGACATCTGATCTAGCCACGTAGTGTAGGCTTAGCATCACTTATAAGTGAAGAAATTAATCAAAATCATGTATTTAAACACTTACATATCCCAGTCTTAAATAGTTCCCTTGATACATGAGATCGGGCCCACCTCTCAGCTAAAAGACCATATATATATATATATATATGGTCACTGCTATTCTAAAGTAGTATTTCCAGGGTTTAAATAGGATCTAGGACATTTAAAAATGCTATGAACAGATAAAAACATAATAAAAGTGAATTAGTAACTCAGACCTTTAAGCGTGGCAAGACACCAGCATGTCAAGACACTAACATATATAAAAGTAATCCATTCCCAGCATTTTGGGAGAAAACAAAATGGCTCAATGTAAAACTGAAAGAATGAGGTATACACTTTAATAATGATGCTTGTTTACATTCAGTAAAGGTCTAAGCAATTGCTTTCCAGTGTCATTTGGAAGATTGTTGCTCAATTTTCACATCCCTTCTTTTATCATCTTGACTAATTATACAAAACCCACCTATCAAACTCCTTAGACTCAACAAGTATTAGGGCCACGAGTATTTCTTTCCAATCCCCAGGAGCAGCTGTATAGAAACACAAGTGTTTCTATAAAAACCAGGAAATATTTAGGCAAGTAAGAAAATATATTCACCATTCCGAAATCATTGTTCTGTACGGGGCCTCATCTAACATTCTTGTCAAAGATACAGAAAGGATGACCATTAAAGCCTCCATTCTCATTAGAAACTCCCTGCTTCCTGACTCTCCACTTCCTGCTCTCCTCCCTCTCACCCTATCCCATGCCACCCATGGCAAATCGCACTTTTCCTGTTCCTGAAAACCTTTCAGATGCAGAAAGTGTCACTAAAAATACCGTATATGCTAAACCTGGGAGAGAAACTGAAAATAATCTTGCCCTCAAAGAAAACACCTGCTATCATCAGGCAATACAGGATTCAAAAGACATTCTGAACAGCTGGAAGGGTAGTAGCTGCACCACAGGGCAATAACACTTAATTTTCCTGCCTGTGTTTGTAATCAGAGCTCTGACAGACCCAGATACTCCACAAAACTGATTAAAAAAGAAGAGAAAAATTGCAGTGGTTTACATAATTCTGTACATATCTTTGTTCTAAATGCTAAAGACCTGCGAGACATTCATCTCATCAAGAACAAATATACAGACAACAGCACAGCAGTCTTCAGTGCTACAACAAAAGACAATTTAAGACAAATGACTTAGAGCAAATGCTATCACTGAATAATCCCACAGCAGCTGTCATAATTAGTTAGCTCAAATCTCATCAGAATCAGAGAAGTTAGAGTTAAAATCGAGCTCTCTTCCTGTAACATTGTGTAACTCCAAAACAGCAGCATTATCCTCGCTATTTTAGAATTAACCTTTCTCCATAAGATACGGTGGAACAACTCGATCCTTCCACGCAAAAAAACGCGGTGCAAGCCAACAGATGACAAAAGAAACTCGGTCAAGTTTGAGCCTCTCAACACCTTATTTCCTGTCTAAAGAGCCCTTTTGTTCTGCTTCCCTGCATAAATGTTAATATTCTGCCATCATTAGAAAACGGAACAATGAAAAAAAAACCCCACGCACATGAACTTCACTGCCCCAGAGGGCGAAATAACGCCACACGACGCGATTAGAACCGGAAAATTCCTACCAACAAAATCTCCACAATTTTCTGTTTGCTTCACCCCAGATTAACTTCACTTGAAGCTGTACTTCGGCGCAACCCAGCCTGGACGCGGAGCCCCGCCTCCCCCGCGCTTACTGGTCGATGCGAGGGAGCCCCGCCCCGCCAGCCAGACTCCGCTCCCCGATTGGCGGAGCGGCGTATCCATTATTTAAAGAACTTTTTCCTTGCTAGCAGGTTAGGCTGGGCAGGTTAGAACACCCTGGGCAAGCTGGTTCTTAAAGGGACAGGACCCCGCTCCCGGCGGTGACAAACGACTGCCTCCGGCGACGCGTCGGCCCGAGCAAGCGCCAGCGAGTGCCCCTGCGAG